CCTTTCTATGTTTAGTACATCTTTCAGGAGCTCTTGTAAGGCAGGCCTGGTGGTGATGAAATCTTTCAGCAATTGCTTGTTATTAAAGGATTTTATTTCTCCTTCACTTATGAAACTTAGTTTGGCTGGTTATGAAATTCTAGGTTGAAAGTTCTTTTCTTTAAGGATGTCGACTATTGACCTTCTCTCTCTCTGGCTTGTAGGGTTTCTGCTGAGAGATCCCCTGTGAGTCTGATGGGCTTCCCTTTGTGAATAACCCGACCTTTTTCTCTGGCTGCCCTTAGCTTTTTCTCCTTCATTTCAACCCTGGTGAATCTGACGATTGTGTGCCTTGGGATTTCTCTTCTTGAGGCATATCTTTGTGATATTCTCTGTATTTCCTGGACTTGAATATTGGCCTGCCTTACTAGGTTGGGGAAGTTTTCCTGGATAATATCCTGAAGAGTGTTTTCCAGCTTGGATTCATTATCTCCATCACATTCAGGTACACCTATCAAATGTAGATTAGGTCTTTTCACATAATGCCATATTTCTCAGAGGCTTTGTTTCTTTTTATTCTTTTTTCTCTAATCTTGCCTTCTTGTTTCATTTCATTGAGTTGATCTTCAATCTCTGATATCCTTTCTTCTGCTTGGTCAGTTTGTCTATTGAAACTTGTATATGCTTTGCGAAGTTCTCATGTTTTGTTTTTCAGCTCCATCAATTCATTTATATTCCTCTCTAAACTGTTTATTCTCATGAGCATTTTGTCAAACCTTTTTTCAAGGTTCTTAGTTTCTTTGCATTGGGTTAGAATATGTTCTTTTAGCTCAGAGAAGTTTCTTATTACCCACCTTCTGAAACCTGTTTCTGTCAATTTATCAGACTCATTCTCCATCTAGTCCTGTTCCCTTGCTGGTGAGGAGTTGTGAATCCTTGGAGGTGGAGAAGTGTTCTGGTTTTGGGTGTTTTCATCCTTTTTATGCTGGTGTCTTTCCATCTTTGTGGATTTATCTACCTGTGGTCTTTGTAGTTGGTGATTTTCAGATGGGGTCTCTGAGTGGACATCCCTTTGCATTTTCGCTGGGAACTGCAATCCAGAGCTGTTCCTATTCGGCCATGTTGGATCCCATCCCTTGTGTGAGTTTTTGTGTGGAGACCCACTACGCCAGCTGAAACAGCTGTGCTGGAAACTTGCGGTGCTTTTCCGCCCAGGTATCTCCTGGTCTGTGGACAATAAAAAGTTGTTTGGAAATGCGGTGATAACTCACCCTCTGCGTTCTCGCTGGGAACTGCACTCCACAGCTGTTCCTATTCAGTCATCTTGGATATTTCCTCGAGCCTGTCTCTTAGCACAAGAGAAGGGCAGTTGGACTTCTGGCTTCTTGGTGACTGGCCTGTCCTGGAAATCCCACCTGGGCCACAGGCCTGCCGGGCTGAGGATCTTGTCTTCTAGGAAAGGGAGTTGCCAGGCTCTGGGACAGGCTTGGAAGGCCACTTTTTTTTTTTTTTTTGAGATGGGGTTTTGCTCTTGTGCAATGGTGTGATCTCAGCTCAGCATAACCTCCACCTCCTCAGTTCAAGCAATTCTCCTGCCTCAGCCTCCCACATAGCTTGGATTACAGGCATGCGCCACCATACCCATCTAATTTTGCATTTTTAGTAGAAACAAGGTTTCTCTATGTTGGTCAGGCTGGTCTCGAACTCCCGACCTCAGGTGATCCACCCACCTCAGCCTCCCAAGGTGCTGGGATTACAGAATTGAGCCACTGTGCCTGGCCAACATTGCATTTTTTCCTCTGACCTTTAGTCTGTTTATCTTGTGATATCCAACATAGCATTATCCCAAGCCCCAATTTTTAGGTGCAAAAGGATGATAAAAGTGAAATAAAGTGGAACACTGACAATTAAATACTAACAGACTTAAGCAAATATTCCTAAACATTTAGCCAACTAATTATTGGGGTTTTTTTTCATGGTATGACTATTGTAAAGGATACTGTTTTTACTTATTAAGGATTTTATTCATATGTATTAATCAAACCTACATTATGCCAATGAGAAATTAATATGCAGACCAGCAATATATATGATCTATTCAGAGCCAAATGAGTATCACACTGAGGGGCTGATATCAGTTCAAGTAGGTAGTGCTTGCAACTGACCACTGCTAAACAAGACTTTGGTTCATTCCTAAGTACAATTATTTTTACCCAGCCTATGTACTGCTAGTGTGTGCCCAGCAGAGATAGGAGTGCCACAGGGATATCAAACAACTCCTGATCTAAAGGAATGTTTTTCCAGTTGGGGGAGAAAAGACAGGAAAGCAACACCAGACCGTACATAATGACAGTCCTACATTGTTCAGGACTAGCTGTGAATGCCCTAAGGCAGTGACTTTCTAAAATGTAGGCACCGTGGGGCTCTTAAGAAATCCTTTCAGGGAAGGACCTTGTGCAAAACAGACACAGAGGAGGTGAGTTGATTAAAGAGGAAGTTGAGGACCCCTCCCCTCTGGGTCCCTCTGGCTACAGAAATCACAGATTTTCAAACTGCCTGGACTTGAAAATCGGCTAAGATTTGAATGGACAGAAAGGAGGGAGGAAGGCGTGCCAGGTTAGGAGGACCAGTAACCTCAAAGGTAAAAGGGTGAGAATTCAAATAAGAAGCAATAGGCCCTCTTTGGGACACCTAGGAAGATGAGCTGGCAGGTAGTCAAAAGAACCTACCTGGTTGCTTTTGGTTTTCAACCTGAATTCATTTTTGAATATTTTAAGCCTGGTGAAATAGTGAACAAATGCTATAAATCACAGCAGATTTAGGGAAGCTTAAGGTTATCAGTCAAGTAACGAGTCTTGCCATTATTCTTTATTTCAGAGTCATTTCAAGTTGTCGTGAGAGGAAACGGCTTCCGACATGCCCGCAACGTGGACAGGGTCCTCTGCAGCTTCAGGATCAACGACTCAGTCACACTCAGTAAGTCCTTGTAGAGTCCATGGGTTTCAACTGGCTTCGGGGAGGGAAATTCCCAGCCTTATCTTCCAGCAAGGCCACACACATGAAACCAGCAGAAAAGAGTTTTCCCTGCTGGAAAGATCCCCAGCAAGGGCATAGTGAGCCCCTACAGTGGTTCCAGTCAGAAAAGTCACCCCTCTAGGAGGGCAAAACCCCATGGGTGTCCAGCTTGATAAGCAGAGCAAGGCTGGACTTGAGCCCCCTTCCTCCACAAAACACAGAGCCACAAACCACAGTCCTGCAGCAGCCCTCAGGAAGCAACATGGCACTGGTTTCCTTGTCCCCTGCATCTGTCCAATGGCTCACTCTCAGATGGGTGTACTGGTGATGGTTAATTATGGCTGGGAAAACTTGAGGCTCCTTAACAAAGCATTGGAGACTGCAAAGGGTAAGTGTGAAAAAGAGATAGTCTAAATGCATTAATTGTGACTAAATCAAAAACCAAACCATTAGGCTTGCACATGTAGATTCTGCAGCTTTTTTCAATCTGGATGATTCTTGCTTGGAGTAGCCAAGAAACTCTCATCATGGTGAATATATCTTACATGAAATACAGGAATATGGAAGTAATACAGGAATATGGAAGTAAAACTAACTGCATTTCATGAGAAAAAATGAATTATCATAACATTGGCTTCTTCATGAGACATTTGCAGCAGTCAAGTTCCTCATTTAAGGATGTGTGTGTTTCATGTGGTTGACCAGGAGAGATGGGGAAAACGATTATAGGAGGAACAGATGCCAGGAACCCTGGTTATGATTTGCATCTGGCATCTGTCACACAGCTAATTATTTATTCCACTTCTGCAGTGATAACCACCATAATATACTGCATTTTTTATATTGTACTTTGTAAATGCTTCACATCTTTTTGCTACAACAGCCCTGAGAAGTAGACAGAGCAAGGAGGACAGGAGGACACACATTTGTTGACTAACCACTCACATTAGTTTCCTCCTCCTATTGGCCTTTTGTTTTTTTGAGATGGAGTTTCACTCTTGTTGCCCAAGCTACAGTGCAATGGCATGAACTCGGCTCACTGCAACCTCTGCCTCCCAAGTTCAAGTCATTCTCCTGCCTCAGCCTCCAGAGTAGCTGGATTATAGGCAGGCACCATTACATCTAGCTATTTTTTTGTATTTTTAGAAGGGAGAGGTTTCACCATGTTGGCCAGGCTGTTCTCAAACTTCTGACCTCAGGTGACCCACCCACCTCAGCCTCCCAAAGTGCTGGGATTACAGGCATGGGCCACCATGCCCAGCCCAATAGCCTTTTGAAAGAGATCACATTATTTTTAAAGAAGAATTAAGGGGGTATGGATTTTTCCTTCTTGACATCGTAAAACCCACTTTTAGTAGTTAAACAGACACATGCAGTGGCTTCCTCACAAACATCTGGAATTCCTGGCCTTGGAATAATTCCAAACATTGGAAGCATTCAGTTAGTTTTCTTAATATTTGGAAATGCTCTCACAGATCCAAAAAGTATGTGCTATTGGAAAGCATTCTGAAATATCCTGAGTAGTCATAATATGAAAGTTGAACATGTGCCCCCAGCAGAGTTCTTCCTTTTCTCTCCCTTTCAATTGTTATGTCACTTAAGTCCCCCTTCTCTCTCTCTTTAACCAAAATCACAAGTCTAACATCAAAAACTCCTGAGGGTTTAACTCAAAGTCATCAATACCTTCCAAAGAAGACTTCCCAGACAAGCGGGCTCACACCTGTAATCCTGAGGTGGGTATATGGCCTGAGCTCAGGAGTTTGAGACCAGCCTGGGCAATATGGTGAAACCCCATCATCTCTACCAAAAATACAAACAATTACCTAAGTGTGGTAGCACACACCTATAGTCCCAACTACTCTGGAGCCTGGGGCTGGAGGATCACTTGAGGCCAGAAGGCAAAGGTTGCAGTGATCCAAGATCATGCCACTGCACTCCAGCCTGGGTGACAGAGTGAGACCCCATCTAAAAAAAAAAATAAGATGAAATGCAAATTCACTATGAATTTGTAAAGTGAGTACTCAAAGGCCTATTTTCCAACTTCTCTGTGAGTTTTCTTTCTTTCTTGGGAAACCAGTCCATCCCTTCTCCTCTCTTCCTTTTCTAATATACAGTGGCAAATATATGCACAGGCTTGTTACCTCATTCATATTCAAAAAGAAATAGAGGTTGTAGGTGTAGGGATTTGGCTTAAATCACAAACTCACTTGTGCCTTTGGCACAATGCTAACAGTTTGGAGAAGGTGAAGGCAGTGATTTGATCTTACCACATGCTGCAAGCAACACCCCAAAACTCGAGCATACGGCTATTAGTATTCTCAGGGGAAAAATAGCGTTTGAGGAAAACACCTGGCCTTTAGTTAGTAATTCATCTGTTCATTTCCATGCAGTAAATAATATGAACAAGAACCTGTGGAGGAAGGAAAGAAGAACAAATTTTAACATGCAGCACATTTACGTCTACATTTTTCTATCAACCCTATAAATGTCATAGTCTCTACTGATTCCTCCCTGTAAAATAAAGTAGATTCCTTTCTTTCCCATTTTCCTTCCTCACCTCTATACCCCAAGTTTTTAAATGTTATGTTATTTTTATTTCACATATTTCCTTTGTTGAGATTTTTTTCCTAAGTGCTGCACTGAATTTTGTGACAAAAACAGAATTTAAGTGCTCTTATTAATAAGAAAGACTGAATTGAAGGCCCAATCATGAAGCTAAGGCTCTGTGGCTCTAGCCACTTCAAACATGATGCAGACCTCAGAGTCTTCAGCAAATAATGCAGTAGCAAGCTATACGAAGCAAAATCTGTTAAAAGAATAAATTAAGAATGATATGTATAGTGGGAGATATTAATATGATTTTTCAAATCTTAAAAATTTAAAACTTAAAGATACAGAGCATATAATACTTTAATGACTATGAACTACTTTCCAAATTGATCTTGCTAAGATGTAGACAAGATGTCAGCATATTAATGCCAAAAGTAGAAATTGTTTAGATACATTCTTAGATGATAAGCATAAACAATATAGGTTTAATACATGCTTCTCTCCCAATTTCCTTGTATTTGCTTAAAAATGAAACCAACCAATCCACCACTTAGAAATCGAAGACAGTTTCTAGATTTGTGATTAACAAAATAGATCCAAAAATCTGGATAAAATATGATTTTTACAACTGTATCTTGTGGCCTCACTCAAAGGAAAGAAGTGGGAATCTCCAAGTACAGGAAACAAAATGGGAATAAAAACCTAAGTAAGAAACAAAGTCACAGGGGCTCCAGGCCGGGCTGAAGGCTGTGATCCCAATACTGATGCAGTTGCAGAACACCAGCTCTCAGGTCTGTGCCAAGGCATCACACAAAAGCAGAGCCCCCTGCAGAAATCAGGCTCCAGTGGGCTACACCAAGCATTTAATAGGGCAAGGAAGCAGGCAGGGGAAGACAATTCACAGGTGTAAGGATGTTATACCACCCATGTGATACAGAAGCACCAAGTCAAGAAACTAGCCCAAAAATGTGTCCGTGACCTTTCTGATCCCTGTGGCACTACAGAGGCCATGCACGTCAGCCCTGTGGGAGTCTTCCACATAGCCCAAGCCCACAGCACACCTGCACCAAACAACCCCCTAAAGGTGGGCTGATGGCGCAAAATGACAACCAAAAGATTAATGAAACAAACAGAACAAACAGGAAGAGAGGATCCGAGAGCAAATTTGAAAGAGGATGAAAAATAAGTGTGTTTAAAATGTGTAAAAAGATCAAATAGATCATAGGAGGAAAAACACTCATCAAAAGCAGATTTGCAGAAGAATTGAGTATAAATTTTAGATTTGAAAAAGTTTATTCACTGAAATAAAACTTCATGGATGGATTAAACAGTGTGATTAGACAGAGATGAACATGAAATATATGAACGAGAAGGGAATTTGAGGAAATTTCATCCCCCCAACCAACCAAAGCACCACATCCAGATTTTTTTTTCACCTAAGTTTTACCAAGTTTTAAGGGACAAATGACCCATATCAGATATGTACTGTTCCAGAGAAAAAGCTTTTTTTTTGTTGTTTTTTTTTTTTTTTTTTTTTTTTTAAAGACAGGGTCTAGCTCTGTCACCCAGGCTGGAGTGCAGTGGCACAGTCTCTGCTCACTGTAACCTCTGCCTCCCAGGCTCAAGCAATGCGCCCACCTTAGCTGCCTGAGTAGCTGGGACCATAGATGTGAGCCACCACACCAGGCTAGTTTTTGTATCTTTTGTAGAGACAGAGTTTCACCATGTTGCCCAGGCTGGTCTTGAACTCCTGGGCTCAAGCTATCCACCCCACCTCAGCCTCCCAAAATGCTGGAATTACAGGTGTGAACCACCACACCCAGTCAAAGAAAAGCATATAAATTCATTCTATGATAATAACATCATCTTTGTTTAAAAAACAAAAAAAAATGGACAAAGGCACTAAAAGTAGAGAATATTTGAGATCAAGCTTACTAATGACAAACATCTAAATCAAATATTGGCAAACAACATCCAGCAATGTATTTAAAAAGGATCAAGATAGCTAAGACAATTTTGAAGACAGTGGGGGAATTTGTTTTCATGTAGCAAAAGTTACTGATGCCCAGAAGATATTAAAATTCATTATTCATAATTTTAAAAAATACTTCTAGTAAGCTAGGAATAAGATAAGCCTTCTTTAACATAAAAATATGTCTATATATTTGAATTCAAGACTCAGCATCATTCTAATAATAAATCACTATGTAGAGGAATTCACTTTAAAGTTCAGAAGAAAAAAGCAGGACAATCCATTTCACCACTGTTATCTAGTATTGGTCTTAAAGTTCTGCAGCACTGTCCAACACAACTTTCTATAATGATGGAAATGTTCTAAGATGGTAGCCACAAGCCACATTTGGCAGCTGGTCATTTGAAATGTGACTAGTGCAATTGAGGAACTGAATTAG